CCTACAGTTTCTCAACTGCTGTACATGGATGCAGGTTCAGCCTTTTTTACATCTCTGCCTTTTCAATCAGTCTTTTGTATATCTTTGGTTATAAGACTTTTGTTCAGCTAGTTTCTAATTGGTTATTCAGGTTGATTGTTTTATAATTTAATTGTCATTTTGATTTGGTTCTGGGAGGAGGTGATTATAACTTCCACCTAATTCATCACCAGCTTGTATCTCTTGACTTTATCTTTTGACAGTTTATGTTGTTCTTGAGTGCGGATCTCTGAGTTTATCTTTCTTGGAGTTTCTTTAGTGTTATGAATGTATAAATTAATGCTTTGCAACAAATTTGGGATATTTTGGACATTATTTTCTCAAATATTTTTTCTGTCCCTTTTTCTCTTCTGTTTTTGGTACTTCCTTATGTAGCTTCCTTATGTAGCTTGATGGTGTTACACAGGTCTCTAGATTCTGTTTATTTTTCTTCATTAATTTCTCTTTTTTTCTCTTAGACTTGATCATCTTAATTGATTTATCTTTCAAGTTTGTTGATTCTCTCTTCCACCTGCTCAAACCTATTAATGTCCTCTACTGAAATTTTCATTTTAGTTACTGTAATTTTTAACTTCACAATTTCTATTTGGCTACTTTCTATAATTTTTATCTTTTTATTGATATTTTCTATTGATGAATTGTAATTATCACTCTGTCCCTTAATACTTGAGACGTGGTTTTATTTAGTTCTTGAAACATTTACAGTAGCTGCTGTAAGGTCTTTGTCTAGTAAGTTTAGGCTTCCTTGGGTATGGTTTTATTGACTGCCTCCCCCACCACACCCCACTTTGTATGGTCCATACTTTATTTCTCTTTTCCTGCTTTATAACTTTTATGGAATATTGAGCATTTTAAGTAATATGAAGTGGCAATTCTGGAAATCAATTTTTCCCCTGCCCCCAGAACTTGTTGTGGTTGTTTGTCTAGTAACTTTTCTGAACTAGCTCTATAATGTCTGTATTTTTTTTGTTGTATGTGACCACTGAAGTTTCTACTCTGTTAGTTTAATGATCATCTGATAAGTGGGTAAAAATTTATTTGTATGCTTGAAACCAGTAAGTTTCTCAGTCTTTGCCAAAGGGTTTTCTGTGCATGATAGGGCATGGTTTCTATGTTCAGCCAGGCAATTAGAAACTCTACCTTTGCCTTCAAATCCTACTTGCCCTCAGCCTCAATGGCAACTAGAAGTGAGAACATAAAGTCTTTGTGTCTTTCTGGAATGTGAGCACAACCTTCTGCATAAAACAGCCCTTCAGATATTTGTCCTTGTGGGTTTCTGGGGATATTTTTAAGTTTTTCAAGGCCTCCTATAAACACCTCATTTGCCACTTTTTCCTAAAGCTTTATAGTTAGCTTAAAATTATTGTTTGCCTTCATATATTTGTCTAATTTGTGGCTATAATCAACCAGTTCTGTGAGGATCCTGATCACCAGTGTTTTAAACTGTGCATCTGAGAGTTTTGCTATTTCTTCATCGCTTAGATCTATAGGTTCTGGGGCTTTGAGATCTTCTTGCACCATTTTTGGTCTGTTCGCACCCTTTAAGTGTGAGAAGCGGTGCCTTGGACTCCCAGGTCGCTGGGTTGTGATGCTGTATGTGGGGGCATGGTCAGAGCGGGTATGAAGGTGAAACTAGTTGAAATGAATGGAATTGCACAGGAAACCAATAGCAATGAAAAGGAAACTGGGACTCAAATCAATGGAGTGGACCAGAAGAAAGCAAATAATAGCCAAACAGAAAAGAATCAAGAAGCAAGAATTCAAAGAAATGAGGAGAGTCTTAGGAACCTCCAGGACATCTTTAAACGCTCCAACATTCAAATTATACGGGTACCAGAAGGGGGAAAGGCACAGCCACCAGTGGAAAACTTATTTGAACAAATAATAAAGGAGAATTTCCCCAATCTGGCAAAGGAAATAGACTTCCAGGAAATCCAGGAAGCTCAGAGAGTACCAAAGAAGTTGGACCCAAGAAGGAACACACCAAGGCACATCATAATTACATTAGCCAAAATTAAAATGAAGGAGAGAATCCTAGAAGCAGCAAGAGCTAAGGGGACAGTCACCTACAAAGGAGTTCCCATCAGACTGTCAGTGGATTTCTCAAAAGAGACCTTACAGGCAAGAAGGGGCTGGAAAGAGGTATTCCAAGTCATGAAATCCAAAGACCTACATCCAAGATTGCTCTATCCAGCAAAACTTTCATTTAGAATGGAAGGACAGATAAAGTGCTTCTCAGATAAGATCAAATTCAAGGAGTTCATCATCACCAAGCCCTTATTATATGAAATGCTAAAGGGACTTACCTAAGAAAAAAAAGTTAAAAAAACATGAACAGTGAAAGGACAACAAACTCACGGTTATTAACAACCACACCTAAAACAATAGCAAACTAAAAGGACAGCTAGATCAGGAGTGGAAACATAGAAATGAAGATCTCAAGGAGGGTTAGCAACAGGGGAGTGGGAGGAGGAGAAGGGGGGAGAAGGTATAGAAAATAAGTAGCATAGACAGTAGATAGAAAATAGAAGGGGGGCAAGAATAGCATGGGAAATATAGAATCTAAAGGACTTGAGACACATGGTCATAAACTAAAGGGGGGGTAATGGTGGGGATGGGAGGGTATGGTGGAGGGGAATGAAAGGGGGAATAGAACAACTGTAAGCATAATCAATAAAAAAATTAAAAAATATATTGTTTGCCAATTATTATCTACTGCCTCTAGCAGCCACTGTGTTATTTTTTTCTGAATGTTTTTAACAAATGCTGCTAAAGAAAGGCTATTTGCACTAGGCAGACTCCAAGTGGGGTCTTTCAGGGAACACCAGACAGGTCAAATAATGACAGTTCTCTGGGTCTGGTTCTTTGAAGAAGTTCCAACACCATTCTTCCCCCCACCACTGACTCCCAGGCTGTTGGTTTTTATTGTAATTGTAGGCTGTTGGTTTTCAAGACTACTATGGAGCTGGTGAGGAGAACTGGAAATAGTGCGAGTTAAAACACCACAAGTCTTTCTATTCTTACCAAGATTCAGCCATTTTCCTTGATGGAACATTCCACTGATTGTTACAAGCCTTTGACAAATTCCCAGGGGTCAAAAATTTTGTTATGACAATTTTTCCATTATTTTTATTGATTTTATGGAGGAGAGTTTTTTCAGAAGTATATATTCTGATGATTTTACTGACATTGATCATCAACATCCTAATTCACTCCAATTCAATCTTCATTCCTCCAAAAGAGTTCCTGCCATTGTTATCATTACTATCCAGTTTCCCTGGGTCAAATCTCTAACCTATATTTAATGGCACTCTCTGTGTTACCTTTCTAGCATTTTTCAGATACAGTTTCCCTACTACTCTGTGATTGTTTGGTTATCTGGCTTCCCACTACACCATTGTCATCTGTAGTCATGCCTGTAGAGTGAGCCTTCTCATTCATTCCAGGCCAAGAACTTGTCTGAGAACATCTGGGTAAAGGACTGCTGTCACCTGAAGGTCAAGTTCATCTCTGGCCCAAGTGCTAACCACCAGTGGAATCTATGAGGGATGAGTGCTGTTACTGAATTTTCAGAGGCAAGACAGAGTTAAACCAGGGGAGAATTTTCTTTTTGGAAATAAATCAGGACAGAGAAAAAACACAGCTTTGTTGTTAGTAGTCGGGCCTTCCATAGTTTTTTTTTTAGGTATAATTTACATATAATAAAATTCACCTATATTAAATATACACTTCAATGTATTCTGACAAATGTATGTAGTCATGTACCCATGACCATAATCAAAATATAGTGCATTTACATAAACTCAAAAGTTCTGTACTCCTCTGCTGTCACTCCTACTCTAGACCTTAGTAATCAGTGACCTGAGCTCTGTCCCTACAGTTATACTTTTCACAGAATATTACATAAATATAATTTTATAGTACATAGCTTTGGGTTTGGGCTTTTTTTTTTTTTTTTGCTTAAAACAGTGCTTTTGAGAATCATCATGTTGCTCCATGTATTAGCAATCTGTTTCTTTTTATTGTTAAATACTATTCCATTGGTATAGATGTATTATTTGGTTCTTTTACTGGTTGATAAACATTTGTATTGTTTTCAGTTTTTTTACTAAGATGAATAAAACTGATGAATTTTTATGTACATACTTTCTATGGAGCCATTTTCATTTTTCTTGTGCAACTAGTTACAAGTGGAATTTCTGGGTGATATGATATGTTAAGTGCATCTTCAACTTTGTAAGAAACTACCAACATTTTTTTGTTTTTTGTTTTTTTCAAAGTGGTTATGCTATTTGCTTTTCCTACCAGCCATGTCTGATGAATTCTAGTTGTTCCACACTCTTTTTCACCTACTCTTGGTTTTATTTATAATTTAAATTTTAGCCAATCTTCTTGAGTGTGTAGGAGCATTTCATTGTAGTTTTAATGTATATTTCCCCAATGACTAATGATATTGAACGTATTTTCATGTGTTTATGCTAACACAGGTACTTTATCCAGCATATGTACCCCAAAATGGACTCTGCTTTCCATCTACATGAGCCTTTCTGGGTAATAAGCCAAGTCTTTTCCAATCCTGGTAAATCCTTTGGTCACTGGGGATCTCTTGGGGGCTGGAGTCCAGGGTGTGGCCCAGGGTATGGTTCTGCCTTTAGAGCTGACTAAGGGTACTGACTTGCCCTTGAGGGTATCCAACAAGAATCTGAATTTACTTCCTTAAGTGATTTACACAGAACACTGGCATAAGGTCAAAGCCTAATGTAGCTCTTAAAAAGCCCAGAATATAAGCATTTTCTTGCCAACAGAGAGCATGGGGCCCAGCCTTTTCCCTGGGCTCTCCAGATATAAGAACCTCAGAAGTGCTTGTTGGTAGCCTCCAATTACACAGAAAGTCTCCCTGGGGGTTGCTGAAGTCTTTACTCAGGATTCCAGGCACCTTGTCATGACCTTGATCAACTTACCTGTCTGTGCAGGCTGATGAATTTTTGAGGATCCTCATCAGCCCAGGGAGGCAGTTGCACATCCCCCAGTGCTGTCCCATCCTGCATGCAGCCTGAGTGGGGTGAGAAACAGCAGGGTTTCGTGTAAATGGGAGCCAAAATTGGGCTAGGAATTAGGGCATGTGACAATGTGCTATCCAGGACTACTTATTCCATGCAGATCAAGCTGCAGTCTGTGTCCTACGTGGGCTACATTGCTTCTTGCTTCCTTTGTCTGGAATGTCCCACACTCTAACCCTCTAAACCTATGACCCCTCCCTAAAGCACCCCCTTGCTTCTCAGGCAGTATCTGTGCTTGATCTACAAGTTGTATAAAATGACTGTAATGTCATTATTACTTGTACTTTTCTCTCCCACCATTCCATGCTTTCTCATTGGGGTGCTTTCCATACAGTGCTAAAACAAGGAGATAATGACAATAAAAATGAAAGCTGTTCTTTTTTGAGCATCTAATTTGATGCCAGGTCACTATACTGGGTGCTTGGCACACATAGTCCTATTGAATCTTCATTCAGTTGTACAATTTATGCATTCTCTCTCCATTTTTAAAGTGAGGACAACTTGGTTTTCAGAGGAAGCCTCTCCAGAAACAGGGGTGTCCAACCAGTGGCTCACTGGCCACACATGGCCCAGGATGGCTATGAATGCAGGCCAACACAAAAATCACAAATTTACTTAAAGCATTATGAGATTTTTTTTTTGTGATTATGTGTCACAATGTATTGAACATATGGCCCAAAATAACTCTTCTTCTTCCAGTATGGTCCAGAGACACCAAAAGGTTGGACACCCCTGCTAATAAACGCAGAGTAGATTCAAACCTGAGTTTCTCTCCTGCGCATTAGCTGCACAACCTTGAGCAAGTTGCTTAATGGCTTTGGGATTCATTTTCCTCACCTATTACCTCCCATGGATGGTATGAGGATTAAAAGAGAAAATACATATAACATTATAATAACTTCCAGGCATATGAAAGTTGCTCAACAAACGTTAGCTATAGTCATGCTTAAACCCTCCAGAGCCTTCATGGTACAACTGAAATAAAACCTTCCCCTCCTCTCTGTGGCCTACGGGGTTGTGCCTGGACTGGCTTTTCTCATCATTCATTCTCAGCTCACCCATCACGTCCTTAGGCAGGTCCTTCCTGGGGATCAGAATTAACACAGGGCCCTCTGAGTCACTCTCAAACCATTTTCCTACTTTCTCAGCATCAAACAGTATTTCATTTATTTATTTGTGTTTATTTTCCATTCCCTTCCCCCATTTCTATACAGAATATAAACACCTTCAGGTCAAACTATTCCAGGATATCCAACTAAATCCCTAGTGCCTAAAAAAGTTCCTTCATAAATTAGGTGCTCAATAACCCCTGGTTTCTTTGACCTTCTTGGGGGCACCCAGTCTTTGGCATGTGCACCATTTTTATAGCTAAGTCCAATTCTGCATAGAGCCTCACCTTCCTTTCCAAGGCAGAATGAGTACTATCGCCCAGTACTCCCCTCATGAGGCCGGCTGGTCACCCCTCTTCTGGCTTCCATTGTTCCTGGTTCCCTTAATCCTTTCTTGGACCATCCCCACCACAATGCCTCATAGGAACTTGCCTTTGTACTTTTCCATTCTCATCCCTGGTGTACATGAATATGTAAGAACCTGAACATGGCAAAGCCCACCAAGTTCCATGGGATCAGACTCACTGGGAACAACCATGTTCTAAACATTTCACAGGTATTTTTGGCTGCAAACAAGAGGTTAGTTCCTGGAGTAGGGGCTGAATCATTTCACTTGTGTCCCCTAGGACTATATCTGGCTTCATTTGAGGTATATGTTGGAATGTGCTGTTTGAAGGAAGAAGGACATGGAGGAAGGGGAGTTCTGGGCCTCCAGCTATGTGGTGGTAACATTCATAAGTTCCTTCACAGGGTGGGTGAGTCTATCCCTGTCTTAGGTGGAGTTGCTCATGCCCTGCTTTAGGCTCTGCCCAAATAACCCCTCTACAAGTCACGCTGACATTTGCAGTAGAGGTTCCTGAGGTATATACACAGCCACAAGGGGACTTGCTCACTGGGCCTTCTGATATGAAATGAGCCTCAAGCAATCAGTGAAAAGGTATGGTTCATCCTGGGGTGAGGCCTGATGAAAAAAAGAGGAGTCACCAGCATACCTGTACAACTGCCCTTGGATGCCACCCAGCAGTTTATCTTGACTGCATCTCTGTGTCTCATTCACAGAGTCCAAGTTAACACATATGTGGGACACAAAGGGAAACAGCACCAGAGGTAGTCATGGTCTTGCCCCAGGTGACACAGTGGAGCAGTGACAGACCTGGCTGTTAGCAGGTGTGTTGCCCCCCAGCTACTCTTCACTGCAGGTGAAGGCCTAGAGGGGTCATGGGTGGGACTGTGGCTCAGAGCAGTTCTGGTAGCCTAGGCCCAGCATGCTTCCTCAGCTCCCACCTTTTCATTGGGTGCTGCCACCCAGTGGAAGCTTCTTACAACTGCAAAGGTCTCATGAAGTGCCTGTGTAGTTAGTTGCTCAGCCAAGATACTGACTGACAAAGTTAGCCCTGAACTGTGAGAAAGAGAACCTATGCTGGCCTCACCCAGGGTTCCACTCACCAAACTCCACTGCATTGCAGTTGGTCAGAAACTCAGGCAGGTAGAAGAACTCCGGTATCAGCTCCCTGACATCACTCATGTTCTCTCTGGAAGCTGACTCCCATGCATTCTTTACGCTGTGGAACATTCTATCTGCCACATCGAAGTTTCCACCCTGTGAGGAAAAAGGGCCAACATGATCAGCTGCTTGTGGTGAGAACTCAGGCTGTGCGGCACCCAAGTTCAAGCTTATGTGGGCCTCCATTTGTCCCTTCAGTCACTGAGAAAAGGGTCCTGCCATTAGAACTCCTCATTCATCCCCCCACACATATTTATTCATTGGCCCATGCATGCGTGTGATAGTTTCTTCAGACATTTGTTCACTCAACCACTCTCTGGAAACTTACACTAAGAGCTTCCACAGAGAATGCATAAATAATCACTGCAATAAAAGAGGCAGATCAGAAAGAAAAACTTTGGTCATTTGTCTGACCAATCCCCACATTTACTAAGGGCCACCTCTGCAGGACCAGAGATGCTTGACCTATAGAATCAGAAACAAAGATAGGGTCCAAAGAACCAACTGCAGGACCAAGAGCAATTCAGACATTCTACGTGAAGGTCAAGGGAAGTTTCCTGGAGAAGTGGACTCCTGGTGAATCTGCAAGCCTGGTGACAGAGAAGTTAGAGTGTTCTAAGCAAAGGGCAAGGATCAGAGGTGGAAGAAAGAAGATTAGCTCAGGGTCATCTAACCTAGCATGGTGATATTTAACATAGCAGCCTTGAGAAGAGAGAGCATGTCTGAGGATGGAGAGCCTGAGGCAGGCCAACCCTCCAGGGATGGGACCCTGCTGTATAAAGATGTCTATAGCACTATCCAAGGGCAGCCTTGGTCCCAAGGACCATTTCCATACACCTTGATGCAGTCCTAAACTTGGCAACTTCAACTGGAATAGGTAAAACAAGGGGATTTTTGATTTCCTGCTCTACTCATCCATCTAGTGGTCCTAGTGATCAGGGAGGGCAGAAAGGTTCCAGTGGGAGTAATGAAGATGCTGGGGGCAGAGAAGCTCCAGGAAAGAGTTTCTGAAACTGAGCTTTGGGTCTACTTAAGCTTAGGAACACCCTAGGAAAACCTTGATGTACCATGAAAGCTGAGCCTTTGTTCAACCAGGACTTGCTTTCCTTCTGTCAGCTTCTGCAGAGTGCACATGTGGCTTTAAGAACAGAGGGGTAAAACACAAAAAGTCAGTTCCTCCTTCACTCCTCTCATATCCCTTCACTTTTTAGTGGTCTGAGTTGTCTTCTCAGTATATAGGGTGGGACAAAAGTAGGTTTATAGTTGTAAAAACATGAAACAGTTTTTTCTTGTATTATTACTGACTAATTATCATATTATTTTCCATATGAACAACTGTAAACCTACTTTTCCCTTTCCCTGTGTACCTAAGTAAAATGCGTGCAGTTGCATATGGACAAAGGGTAAAGAAGGCAGGAGCCTTGTCTGTGCTGTTACACTGTACACATAGAAATGCTTTCTCTCAGTCCTCACAGCAGGTGCATTAGGAAAGAATTAATGCTGTCATTTGGCAGACCAGAAAGCAGGCTCCTCAAAGTTTACTGACAGAGCAATTAGTGGCAGAACTGGGGTTGAATCCATGGTTGCAACTTCAAAGGCCATACTTTGTTGTGTTCCAGCTTACTGGGGAACCCTTGAGCCTGGGCAAACTTAGTCTATATCTGGGACAAGGGGACTCAGCTGCTTCTAAAAAGGGAGACCTTGCCACACACCTGAGGTGAGCCACTCCTGAGCATCATGGAGTCTGGTCAGTTTTTCAAGTCAGACTTGAGGATCCATTAAGATCTATGGTCATTCTTTGCATAGGGACAGGGACACCAAGAGACTCAATTACTTCTCCCTGTTGTCCCAACCAAACACAGTACATGGGCAGCTTAAAGATGCGGCTTTCCTCTAAGGTCACTCTGCTCTTGGTTGACATCAGAGGGATGGTGTCCACCATTTGATTGAAATTATAATGTAATCAAGATGGAGGTAGAGTGTTTTTAAATAAACTTGCACCTAATAAGTCACTCATTGAAACATATTAAGAGCTTTGCATATTTAATCTGCAGCTCAAGTCTCACATTGGTGGAGATTGATGCCTCCTCGTCATCCCATTTTCCTTTTGCAGCTTTTATGAGTGCTGATGGTAATCTCCTGAGACACAATATGATTTGGTAATAAAAAGATTACCTGTATTAAATAAAAATGATATATACATAGGAAATATTGTTAGTGCTACAAACCTGGTTAAAGATATTACCACAAAGAAAAATGTTATTTTTTCACAGCTGTCTAATGCATTTTAGCAAAAGTAATATCTTTAAAACTTAAGCCTGTATTATTTATAAAGGAAGCAATAACTGATTTTCCTATTTCCTATATTAATAAATGTATTTGCATACATCTGTTTGAAAATTAATGGGTTTTCTCACTTCTGCAATGCAAAAGAAACACCAATTCCCTGGAACGAAAGAGTGGAGCTGCTTATTTATGGGCACCAAATGCCTGTGGGGCAACACAAAGGCTGCTGGCTGCTGGCAGTGAGGCCCCACCAGGACTTGACTCTCAGGACAGGATGGGAAGAAAGGAAAAAAGGGAGAGAAAGAGTGAGGCAGAGAGGTACAATTGAGGTCTACAAAATGCTTTTATAAAGAAAAGCCAAAACAAAAGAAAGTAAAACAGCAAATGAAGTCTAGAGATTAGATGGAAACAAAGTGATCAGAGAGAATTACTGAACCAAGATCTACCCCTAACTTTATTCTGCAGATAATCTTGATTATCAAGAAAATGATACACTGAAATCTATGTGTATCCAAACAGACCAAATAATAATAGCAAGATTATTATCATCAGTAAAGGAACAGCCTGTTCTCAGCAGCAGACTTTTCCCAAGTGACACTGAAACCAGGAGCCAAGAGAGCCAAGGTGGCAGGTTCCAAGGCAAAGGGTACAGTGTGGGTTGCGTGGCTGTCTGGCTAAGACCTTGATCATATGTAAAGACTCCAGAAACATATTTTGAATATTTAAGAGTTCAGATCTAGACCACCTTATTATACCACACACAAGAATAAACTCAGAATTGATTAAAGACTTAAATGTTAGACTCAAATAATAAAAATCATAGAAGAAAACATAGGCAGTAAAATCTCAGACATTTATTATAGTGATATTTTTTCTGATATTTACCTCCAGGGGAAGAGAAACAAAAGAAAAAATAAACAAATGGGACTACATCAAACTAAAAAGTTTTGTACAGAAGAGTAAACCATCAACGAAATGAAAATGCAACCAACTGAATTGGGGAGCATATTAACCAATGATATATCTGATAAGGGGTTAACATCCAAAATTTATAAAGAACGTATAAAACTCAAAACCAAAAAAAAAGCAATCCAATTAAAAAATGGGCAAAGGACCTGAACAGACACTTTTCCAAAGAGGACATGCAGAGGGCCCATAGGCTTTTGAAAAGAGGCTCAACATCATAGATGTGCCATTGGTGACTATGTTCTCTCTCTCATTCAGCGGAAGGTCTTAATTTTGTTGATGGTTTCCTCTGCTGTGCAACGTCATCAGAGAAGTGCACTGTGATATCACCTCACACCTCTCAGAATGATTATATCAATAAATCAACAAACAACAAGTATTGGCAAGATTATGGAGTAAAGGGAATCCTCATGCACTGTTAGTGGGAATGCAGACTGGTGCAGCCACTGCAGAAAGCAGTATTGAGTTTCCTGAAAATTAAAAACAGAACTGCCTTATTACCCAGAGATTCTACTTCTGGGAATATATCTGAAAAAACCTGAGACACTATTTCAAAAGAATATAAGCATGCCTATGTTCATTGTAGTGTTATTTACAATAGTCAAGATTTGGAAACAGCCCAAGTGCCCGTCAGTAGACGAGTGGATAAAAAAGCTGTGGTGAATTTACACAATGGAATGCTACTTGGTCATAAATAAGAATGAAATCTTATCTTTTGTGACAGCATGGATAGACCTAGAGAGCATTATGCTAAATGATATAATCTAGTCAAAGAAAGACAAATACCATATGATTTCACTTGTATGTGGAATCTAATGAGCAAAATTAACTAACAAAAAAATACAAATAGACTCATATATAGAAAACAGACTGACAGTTATCACAGGGGAGAAGGATTGTGGGGCTGAGTGAAAAAGGTTAAGGGATTAAGCAAAACAAAACAAACTCATAGACACAGACAACAGCATAGTGGCTACAAGAGGTAAAGTGAGGAAGGCAGAAGAGGGTAAAGGGGAATAAAAATTTATGGAAGGAGACTTTACTTGGAGTGATGAACATACAGTATGATGTACTATATAATTGTACATTTGAAACCTATTTAATCTTATTAACAAATGTCACCCCAATAAATTAAGACAAAGAAATAACATCATACTAGGTATCCCCCCTCAATTAAAATATTTTAAGAGGTGCTTGACTTTGCTAAGAAGAAACAAAATTAAAAGCAAAATAATGATAGAAGATGTGACCAATAAAGTCTATTGTTGAACACTGACTCTAGTTAAAAACCAGAGGAGGACTAAGGAGAAGATGGCATTGAGGTAGGAGGGAGCATATTCCACTTCCCCCTACACATGGGAGAAAAACTTAACTGATCTATGGAGAAACAGAGCAAACAGCCAACAGTACCGCAGCATATATGAGGATAGAAGACCAGAAATTATAGAGGATATTGAAAAACCAGACAGTAAAGATAGTGCTTCAGGACAGTAAGGTCCCTGGGACCAGCGCGGGGACCAGGGCAGCAGCAGCAGCCCCAAGCCTGGCACCAGCTGGAGACAGCCAGGTCAACAGCTACCTCTCCTGCCAAACATGATTTGAACAGCACTGGGAGAGATCTGATTGCTTGAAGTTGCACAGAGGGAAATAAGGACTCAGTGGCAAACACATAGGGCCTGTGAACAACCACGGAGCCTGTGGACACTGGCTGGGGAGAGTTGAGAGTTGGGCCTTGACTGGCCCTGACCCAAATACTCCTGGTCTGGTTGGAGAATTGGGCTGTGTAAGAGACCAGGCCTCTGTACAGAGTGGCAGGCTTGAGTAGGAGGAATTTCTCAAAAAGA